GTGGGAGAGGGAGAAGCAGGCTTCCCACAGAGCAGGGAGCCCAATGTGGGGCCTGTTCCCAGGACCCTGGGATCATGACCTGAGCCAAAGGCAGACGCTTAACGACTGAGCCACCCAGGCGCCCCAGTATGGCGTTCTTAAAAAGAGGTGTAGGCTTATTACTTGTGAGACTATTAATATATTTTATGGATAATCGTGGTCTTTTTATAGCAGAAATAGGAAATTTAACAACTGAATATGCCTACATTACTAAAACTAGTTATTATGTCAATATTAGGACTTTGATCTTTGATGTTTAATTTGTAAAAGCAGCATTTATCTCCAAAATGTTTTGCTGGCTTCAAATGTGTTAACCTCTGCCTACAATTAACAACCTCCTTTAAAGATGGGGAGGATGAGCTAAAGAGTTTTAACTTAAACCAGGAGCATCTCCCACTCACTCATTTCGCCTATTTAAAGTCTTGTTTTCCTAAGCCACTTGGGTGGCTCAGCTGGGTTAAACATCTGACTTTTGATTTTGGCTCAGGGCCTGAGCTCAGATTTGTGAGATCGAGCCCCAGGTCAGGCTCCATGCCCAGATTAAGATTAAGGTTCTCTCTCTCTCCCTCTCTTAAAAAATAAATAAATAAGCTAAAATAAAATAAAAATAAAGCTTTGTTTTCCTACTGGTTAAGAATATCTTAATCCGCTTTCTTTGAATAGAATTCCTGTCTTGTAAGTACCACTGAGTTAAAAAAAAAATGAACAGCTGTAGGAGAGTTTCTAAGAAGAAGTCATGCATTTTTCTATAACTACAAGCTGTAGCAGTAAGAAAAGGGTTATTTAAATTCATTCTTTTTTTTTTAAGATTTTTTATTTATTTATTTGAGAGAGAGAGAATGAGAGACAGAGAGCACGAGAGGGAAGAGGGCAGAGGGAGAAGCAGACCCCCTGCTGAGCAGGGAGCCCGATGCGGGACTCGATTCCGGGACTCCAGGATCATGACCCGAGCCGAAGGCAGTCATTTAACCAACTGAGCCACCCAGGCGCCCTAAATTCATTCTTAACTGACATTTTCCCAGACTCCACTTAAATCACTAGCACATCAAGTCTGGGTTCATTGCATTGTAAATTAATTTCTTTCTAAAACCGTATTTATGTACTCATTTGTTTAATAAGCTCCGTTGTATACTCCAAAGACAATTTCTTGAACTTGGATGAATGACATTCATTTCTCCTCCATTTACCCAGTGCTGCTGCTGAAGCTGATGGTATTGATCCATTAATAAACATGCTGTCCAGTAAACGAGATGGAGCCATTTCCAACGCTGCTACAGTATTAGCGAACATGGCAATGCAGGAGCCCCTGCGTGTGAGCATACAGAACCACGATGTCATGCATGCCCTCATCAGCCCACTCCGTTCTGCAAACACGATTGTGCAGAGCAAAGCGGCTCTCGTGGTGGCTGCAACCGCATGCGATGTTGAGGCCCGGACAGAGGTGAGAGCTTTAATAACGTCTGTTCTCTCATTTTTCTGGTCCCTACCTCTGGGTGGATTAATTTGAAACATTTTCAAGTGTTTGAACCTACCCATCATTTAGAGCCTTCGAATTCGGTGCAACACTTCAACCATGGACTCTGGGTGATAATAATGTGTCAGTGTATGTTCATCAGTTGTAACGAATGTACCAATCCAGCAACGGATATTGATAATGGGAAAGCTGCTCGTGTGTGGGGGCAGGGAGTAGGGGAAATCTCTGTACCTGCTGCTCAGTTTTGCTATGAACCTAAAACTACTCTAAAAAATTAAATTATTAAATTGGTGCAACATTTGGAAAAGAAATTGGCATTACCTAGCAAAGAAGAGCATGTCCTGTAATCCAGTACAATCCAGCAGTTCTGTTTCTAAGTTATACAGCTAAAACGGTCTCTTGCCTCTGTGCACCAGATGCATTGTTTATAATATCTAAACAACTGGAAACAACACCAATTGCCTAGTTTTTTAAGAGAGTGGGTAAATAAATTTGTGGTATATTCATAAAATGGAGTTTCACATCCGTGAAAATGAATGAACTATAGCTACAGACATCAATAGAGATGAATCTCAAGCCATGCTGAGCAAAATCAAATTGCAGAAGAATACAACTTCTGATTCTGTTTATGTAGCACTCGAAAGTATACAAATCTAAGCAATCTATTGTTTAGATAAACATACATGTACATTGCAAATATAAAGGCAAAGGTAGAGAATGATTAACCGCAAATTCAAGAAATCCTCTTGAGGGATCAAGGGAGTGGATGTAACTGAAAGGAAAAAACAGGGGTTCAAGGTCATTTAAATTCGTCATTTCTTAAGCTGAGCCGTAGACAAACAGGCGTGCCTTTACTACAGTGCGTTACATTATACACATGGGTTCCACATACTCCTGTGTTCCTTGTATATTTCAAAGTTTTAAAACATAGAATTGCATTTTTTTTACAAGTGTATCATACAAAAGTGTCTTTGGTTCTATTCAAAAAGGTAATGTAAACCTACAAACATCCTTTTTTCTCTTGCTTTTGTCATATTTACTTGTCACGCAGCACTCTCCAAACAGCCTAGGGCTTTGTTCCTCTCCCTCCAATATAAATAACAATAGCTAACACTTACTGAGCACTTACTAGGCAGTGAGCACTGTGCTAAGCACTCGACAAGCTTTTAAGCGTCACTCCCTGCTGAGTGAGGAGCCCAACAGGGGGCTCGATCCCACCACCCAAGACATCACGACCTGAGCTGAAACCAAGAGCTGGACGCCCAACTGGCTGAGCCGCCCAGGCGCCCCAAGACTACCAGATGTTTATTTACCATCTACTCTGTGTCAGGGACTATGCTAGGCTTCGGCAACACAGCGATCAAAGCGTTTTGGTCCTACCTCAATGCAGTCTGCAGAACAGTCTGTCTCTTTCCAGGAATATTGCAGCTGAGTCTCCTGCTCTCCCTACGCCTGCCACCCCAGCTTCCCACACTGCCTCCAGACTGATCTTTCAAATATATGACCCTCATCATGTCATTGCAAGTCCCCAGTGGCGTGCCATTGCCCCAGAGGAAAAGTTGAGCTGCTTAGCGTGATGCGCATGGGCTCCCAATGACCCACACCTACCCACCTGTGCCTGAAGCCTCTTCCCAGGCCTAACTCCATTCTCCAGAAATACGATACCATTTGTAATTCTGTCCATACGCTCTGTTCTCTTATTTATATGTCTTTGATTTCTCCGCTTGGAAAACTATTCTCACTTTTGTCCACCTGATAAAATCACACTTCTCCTTCAGAACCCATGTCAGCCATTCTGTCTTCCATGAGGCCTTTCTTCAGCCCTCAAGCTAGGGAGCATCCTCATCTATGCTTCCCTTACACCCTATGCATGCTTCCCTTGTCTTCTGCTTTGCATATATGGTTCTTGTATGAAAGACTATAAGCCCCTTGAGGCTTTAGGGATAGGACCTGAGAGTTTTTCTTCCCTGTGTCCATGCCATTAATAGATACCTGGCACAGAGTGCATACTTAATAAACAGTCATTAAATGAATGGGTAAATGAGTGAGGGAATTAATAAATGAATTAGATCTTTTCCAAAAGAACACATGGAGTTAGACTATCTTGTATTATACTCAGAAATAAAGATGTTCAGAAATTTGACTTGCTAAAGCCTAAGATGCTTCAAGTAAACTTTCTAAAGCTGTAATGTTACAAGTACTAAAGTGTGATCCCTGAGAAGAAAATGTCACTGGACACTGACGGAAAACCACTGAATCTGAATCAAGTGGATCATACCCCATAAGGGCTCTTGTCTTCAGATACTACACACAGAAACTGGTAAAATATTCTTTTTTTGTCCTCTAGGTTCAGATGATAGAATATTGCATTTCAGGCAGTATGACAAGAGCTCTATCAAATCTTTTTTTTTTTTTTCCGGATTGGAATAATTTTATCCATGAATAATTACCTTTATTACTTGAATTTCCTTTAACAATGTAATTAATGTAGTTCTGTCCAATTCTCTTCTTATTCTTTTTTATCTCTTCCTCACTCCTTGGAGAATTGAAGAGAAGACGCTGTGCAGCGTTAACAAAAACTGGTCTTCTTCTAGGGCATTGCTATGGTACTGCTTTGGCCACACTGATGATTTGGCGGCAGTGAGATGGGTAGCATGTCACTGTATCAATTCCTCCTGCTCAGCCTTGGGGACCGGATTCATTCCCTATTACTGCTGTAACAAATGACCACAACACTGTGGCTTAAAGTAATAGAAATCTGTTATCGTATAGTATAGGAGGTCAGAAGTCTGAAAACAGGTCTTATGGGTTAAAATCAAGGTGTTGGCAGAGCTATGTTCCTTTGGGAGACTTTGAGGGAAAATCTGCCCTTTCTAGCTTTTACCATCCACCTCCATCCCTTCTGTGGCCCCTTCCTCCATCTTCAAAGGGTATTACTCCAATCTCTGCTTCTACACGACTCCTTTCTCGGCTCCAGGCACCCCTATCTCCATCTTATAAGGACCCTTGTAACTAAATTGGGCCCACCTGATTACCTGGGACAATCTCCCCATCTCAAACTTACTAACATGTCACATGCGCAAAATCCCTTCCAGGGAAAAGGACACCTTTGGGGGACCATCGTTCTGTCTACCATAGGGCCAAATGAACAGTCAGTGTTGATGAGCAGAATGAATGAACACAGGGAGCAAGAGGACAGGTTCTCAGTCTCCCTCCCATGCAAAATCACAGTGACCTCCCTCAGTTATTTGCCTGTGGCCTCCTCTTGACCTTGAACAGAAATCTGGGCTCCTGTCTTTAAGGTTTTGTAATAGACTGCTTCCCCCTAGATGTAATAAATTTAAATATCCTAAAGTGTTCTTACATAGTTAAAATCGTTTAACAATCAAATGAGATTTTTAAAAAAAAAAACATCAGCGTTTATATTCTGTACTCCCAATGCATAAACTTTTGGTTTCCACGTTCAGTTAAGAAATTCAGGCGGCCTGGAGCCGCTGGTGGAGCTCCTGCGCTCTAAGAATGCAGAAGTGAGAAGGCACGCCAGCTGGGCGGTGATGGTCTGCGCCAACGATGAGCTGATGGCTGTTGAATTATGCAGGCTTGGGTGAGTGGAGCTGCCTGGAGTCTCCGGCTCAGATGAAGAGCAGAAGATGAAGGAGCGCACTCTTTGGGCCCAAGGAAGGTCAGGCAGAGTCCACACTCCCGCTCGCAGGCTGCCGAGCCCTTGGGACCTGTGACTGGCTCAGCGGACCTTCCCTAGGAAGGGACGGCCTGGTGGGGCGGGGGAGGAGGGGTCCCCACCCATTCCCCCCACCTGGAGATCTCCCCAGCACCCTTACAAAACCATCTTTACCATCTCCCTGTCCACCTTTTCACCCTGATCAATGCCTCTCTTTCCCTCCCCTCTGCTATTGCTAAACAGCAACTCTGTCTCTCCACTTTTGAAGCGAAAATAAAATGGGTGAGCCATGACTGCATCTACTTTTTCTCCCGCCTTCACCCAAACCTCTCCATCAGAATTAGGCATTTAATCCACCCCACCAAAGCAGGTCCTCCAGCTGCAGCAGATGAGCGAATTGCCTTAGCGTACTGGCAAATAGGGTTTCAAGGGTCCACTGATGGGCTCATCCTATTTCTAACCATCTCTGTGTTTGTGCATATTGCCTGGTTAGCTGAAAAAGTTGGAGCCCAATACTAATTTTGCTTTAAATGAAGAACTTCCCCCCCCCATCAAAGTGTCCTTTTCAGCTGTTTAAATATGAGTCACTACATGGCATATATATTCTCAAAAAGGACTGATTCATCTTCACAATTCTGTCAGTATTACTTTATCTGAAAGGGTGAGATGTCTTTAACCTTTCCATCTCAATTCTTCATTCAGGGTCTTGGCTGGGTATATAAATGAGAACTTAATATTGGATTGCTTGTTTAAAGCAAATAATGCTTTTTTTCTCTTATTGACAGGGCTTTAGATATCCTTGAAGAAGTTAATCTATCAGTAAGTCGAAAAAATAAATTCAGTGAGGCAGCTTATAACAAATTGCTCAACAACTACCTGTCTCTGAAATATAGCCTGACTGGCTATTTGTCATCAAGTAACATAATTAGTGACGGATTCTATGATTACGGTCAGGTAAGTGACAGCATTAATTTGTATTTTAGTATGTACGATCATTTCTTCTTTAGTCACAGTGCCATTACATTGCGATTTTTTAACCACCTCACAGAATGTATATTTTTATAGGCAGAAACTTGGGAATCAGAGCTTTATTCTTAACTTTGGCTGTAAGATCTTGCATTTGTGTACAGTTTTAACTAGAATCTGATTACTTATAGTAGAATCAGCTTGCTGAGGCTACTCTCAAGTTTCAGGGAAGATAGAAAAGAAGGAGCATTTTCTGTTCTATTAATTCCAGGGTTCAGCCTTAGTGATAAGGATAGAAGTGTGAGTGTTTCATTTTATTATAATCTAATTGAAATGAGCCAAATTGTAATACCAAATTTTAAAATGTAATATAGATGAACGTCATTTAAGCTGCATTTTTGACTCGGATTTTAAAAGCAATATACAGTGGAATTCAGGGTTAATGTCAAGAGAAATGGGAAGCTAAAAATTAGAATCTTAAGGACATTTTGGCACTGCTGCTTAAGCCAGCATTTTCCTTTCTTCTGGAAACCAAGAGCAATAAGGAGAACAGGAAAACAATTTTTAAATCTACAAATGCCACTTTAGGCAAATCTAGGAAACAGATATGATCCACAGACTTCATTAAAAAAAATGTAGGAGTTACTGAAAATCCCTGAGATCAGGCAGAAGGGGTGCAGGAAGAGGAATGAAAAGGGGGAAAAAAATAAGCCCAGAGTGGGACAAGCAGCTAGTGGTGCAGGTCTCAGAAAGTGCGATCCCTGCCTCAGGTGAAGGGAGAGCTCAGAAGTGCAAAAGCCAAATGCTCTGTTTGCCGGGCAGGTGCAGGACCCGAGGCCCTGGGATGGGCAAGGCTAGGAGCAAAAGCCAGTTTGGACCAGTTTGATTCAAAAAAGCAGAGGAGATAGGGCCATGAAAGAATCACATAGCTGAACCGTATTTGCAGGAAACACTCTATCATGGTAATCGAATCGGAGACATTTTTTAATTTTTTAATTTTTTTTAAGTAATCTCTACCACATGGGACTCGAACTCACCACTCCGAGATCAAGAGTCACATCCTCTACCGGCGGAGCCAGTGAGGCTCCCCTAGAGACTTTTTTTTTTTTAAAGATTTTTTAAATTTATTTGTCAGAGAGAGAGAGAGAGCACAAGCAGGGGGAGCGGCAGGGAGAGGGAGAAGCAGGCTCCCCGCTGAGCAGGGAGCCCGATGCGGGGCTCGATCCCAGCTCCCTGGGATCATGACCTGAGCCGAAGGCAGACGCTTAACTGACTGAGCCACCCAAGCGTCCCGAGACATTGTGAATAATGAAAAATGACTAGCCTAAAACTTGACTCCTGCTCTTCCTTCTGCTTTCCCCGGCTGCCGCTGCCACCATACCTATCATAAGACACACACACACACACACACACACAGACACACACACACACACACACCACTGAGAAATCACTGCTCCAAGAAAGCCCGTCTCATTCAGTGAATTCAGAGAATTCTCTGATTCCTTCATTCAGTAAACATTAAGTTCCTAACATTGTAGGTTTGAAGATATCCGTAAATAAAAGACCTAGATCTCTACTTTCACCACCCCAGTGAGAAGAAATAGACAATAAACAGTAAACATGACAAATAGATAAATAATTTATATCACATGATCAAAATGATCAGAGCTTTGGGGGGAAAAGTAGAGCAGAGGCAGGATAAGGGGGTTCTACAGTGCTGCGTGGGTACTGGGGTTGATGTTCATCGTGATTTTAGAAATTGTGGTCAGGGAGGTGAGCCAAAGCTAGAAGGTTGGGGGACTTCGGCGTGGGGATGGCTGGGGGAAGAGCTTTCCAGGCAGAGGAATATGCATGCCTGGCATATTTAAAAAACAGCAAGGTCAGTGTAGCCGTAGCTGAGTGAACCAAGGGGCAGACCAGTAAGGACTAAATCAGAGAGGTAGAGCCCAGATCATGTAAGTCTTGTAGACCATCGGAAGGATTTGGGCCTTTATTCTGAATGAAGTAGGAAAACTTGACAGAGTTGCGGGCAGAAAAATAACATGATCTGTCTGATTTTTAAAGGATCCTGGAAAGTATCTTGGACGAGAGAGGGATCTAACTGTAATACGACTGGGAAAAGACCCCAGAAGGTGGTGTGGTCTAACCCCCCTCAGCAGGCTGGTAAAATTGCTAATATAGGATCTGGACTAACCTATTTTTACATATCCTCACAACATTTTTAGTCATCTGTTGAGTAATCAGTTACTCTCACAGACAACAAATTCTCCCTTATATATACATTGCATACATTGCAAACTCCCTTATGTTTACATTGCAAACTCAACTACTTTTGGGGGCCAAACTGATAATTATGGTGTGAAACAGCTGAGAGTATAAAGCAATACAGATTGTGGGGAACTGGAGGCAAGATGCCCACAAGTTCAAGTTCCTCTTTCTAACTGTGCATATGTGTATGCGAAATTACATTACTTCAAACAGCTGAGAACATCAGTATTCATTTAAAACAATATAATCCATGCGGATATTACTTTTTCTTTCTTAAATTATCTGTAGATAAATCCCGGCACCAAACTTTTGCCTTTGAAGGATCTCTGCTTACAAGAACCAAGTGATCTACGTGCTGTACTCTTAGTTAACAGTAAATCTGACGTGTGAGTCTCTTGGGGGAGGAGGGATGCGGGGAAGCGCATAATGCTTTTTGTCTGTACATCATCACATGAATATATAAGATTCCCAGGATGGTATCTTTTTGCCCCCCTGTATTTGGCATCACCCTGAAAACGAACACCAGTCCATAAACTCATAGCCTGACATAGTAAAGGCCATGAAATCATCAGCAACATGGTTTTTCCTTTGATTCCCTTTTACCACTCAATTCCAGATGTATTTCTGTAGTCAATGCTGGTAACATGAAGTAATTGAAGGAAGTGTAAGCAGATAGGAGGAAACCAAAACGAATTATGTTTACAGGACTCTAACTGCTGCCCAGAGGTTTTTTTTTTTTAACTATAAAATAAGAAATAAATAGTACAGCTAAAAATTAAAGCTTCAAATGGTCATGCATACCTATATATCTGTCATAATTTATTTTATGTGATGTATTTTATAAAAATATTTCCAGTTCCAGTTCATGAACAATATTCTTTTTGTCTTACCTTCACCTCTCCTTTATGTTTTCATTCTATCACTGTTAAAAGTCATCTCCAATTATGATTTTCTGAAAAAGAAATCTGTTTTGTAGGACAAATCCAATATTGACAAATAAAGTATTTTAACTTGTATATAATTCAAATATGTAAAATTTTAGTTCTCCACCTCCATCTATGGAAGATAAGTCATCAGATATTGGTTATGGACGGAGTATTTCTTCCTCATCTTCTTTAAGAAGAGCAAGCAAAGAAAAGACGAAGTAAGAAAATGGTATTTTGTCTGTACTCAAATAATTCTCCCCTCAACCTGGGAGTAAGAACAAATTTAGGTTTTAGATTGGGGCAACTTAATTCTTTTCATTCTTCTAGTACTATAATTTCATAATTGCCTTTTTAAATTGCTGTGGAAAAGATCTCTGGGAAAAGTAGGCTTTCTGTGCTATTTGCTGTGAACCTCCAGTGAGCCCTCGAGCACAGGACTTAGGAGCTGTGAGCCGGCTTTGTTCGATTTTCTGTAGATGGAGTCATGCCTGGTGCCCGGCTTCACATCGGGGAAGGGAGCCCAGGCATGTCATGGCAAAGAAACATGCCTTCTAAATGACGAAATGCCTTGCAAATGTAATATTTTATTATGTCTCATATGATTGAAATCGATGATGAATTTTTCCTTGTCCTAAGAACAAATATTTTTCATTTTAGTACTGGATTTGGATCTCCCACAGAAGACAAATCAGAACCTACTTCTGGACGAAATACTGCTCTTAGCAAAAGCACCACGAAGGAGAAAAGATCAAGGTAGGAAATGTAGGACTGTCTTCTTTTCCTAAGGATAGTCATGTGAGGTTTTGATTTCTCACCAAAGTTGGTGAACTGAAGGGGTGGCCTTTAAAATAGGAAGCTTTTCTTACTGAATCAGGATGTTGGGTAGGAGGGGAGACTCATGAAATGTAATTAACAAGTCACTTCATTTTTGCCTCTTGCAATCTCTTGAAAACTTAACCGGAGTGAATTGCTTCTCCTGCCTCTGGGTGAGAACTCAGGTCACTTTGATCAACTATACAGTCCTACAGACACTTGAATTCGAAAACAGCAACAGTAGTCTCTAGCCAGTCATTTAAAAGTCCAACCCTGTGTCATGATCAAGGTAGAATGACCCCCTGCCTTCCCCTGGCGGCTGCCCTTGCGGATGGTGAGCCCCACACGCAGGAGCGCAGTCCTGTCCCTCTCCGCCTTGTGCTTCTACCCCGCCTGCCCCCACCCTGCTCGCCCAGAGAAACCTCTGACCCCTCAGGAGGCAGCGAGAGGAGGAAAGGGAAATAGGACCCAGCTCTTTCTTGATGGAACAATTAGAATGTGGTTTCATGCTTTTTAGGCCTGGCATGTTTTAAACATGCTTTCCGTATGTTTACGTATTTTTAAACCCGTTATTTCTCTAATGAGCACTTTCGTGGATTCCTCAAAAACCCACTTGGACCTCTTGCCACACTCCGTGACCCTTTAATTATTGTTGACTTAAGCCCTTCCGAACCACTGTGGTATCGGAGGCTGTTTGGCAGGCATTTCGAGCATCCGCTCTCTAAACTGAGACCGCCCCCTACGGCCTCCCGAGGTCTGGGCGGTGGTTTGCTCTCCTCAGACCTCAGAGCGGCTGTTTCCCTATTTCTGACTTCCTTCTCTGTTGTAAGTCTCCTTTGCTCGCTCTTCTCATCGCAGCTTCTTAACTGCTCCTATTGTTCCAGGAATGATATTTTTTGCCCTTCCCTCCCCTCCCTTCCCTGTCACCCGTCTCATCCCCACCCCACCCCTCCCTACCCCACCTTTCCCCTCCCCTCCCCTCCCCTCCCTATCCTGCGCCCCACCCCGCACCTTCTCTTCCTGTCTTTCCTTTCCTCCTTTGGCTTCTCTGTGCTTCACCTCTACTGCATGGAGAGCTCCTTGAAGACAAGAACATGTTCTGATTTGAGGAATTTCTCTTCCCATCCCTAGTGTTTAGCCCAGGGCTTGGTGGGCATACGGAGGCATTCATGTGTATTCAAGAGAATAGAAATCTGAAGGGTTGCAGGAAAAGGTTATTTTTGACAAGGTCCACCCTTATAAACTGTGTGTCTGAGCAAGTTGGTTTCCTTCTCTTTGCCTGAGTCCCCTCCTCAGTAAAATGAACAGAACATAGGGTATGGTGAGGAGTAAAGAAATTAGCACGTAGAAAGTGCATAGAGCAGTGCCTGGCACAAAGTGGACGCTCAACAAATGTTAGTGCTGTTGTACGAAACGGTTGCAAGGAGCCCAAATCCACTCAACCCTTGCAGGGATATAGAGGAGTCTCCAGAGTCCAACGCGGGAAATGCAGCCACCCCCTAAAGGACAGGAGCTCGGATGAAGTCAGTAACTGTAGGGTCTCTGTCTCTCTCCCTCTCTTTTTCTCTCTCCACTGCGGGTATCTTATTTACAGATGCTTTGTTATCCTCCTTGACTTTCTTTTGATTACCGCCTCACCCATAACCGTGGCTTATATGTGACTTTGGTTTGCCTGGGGACAAATCTGGCTCCAATTCCAAGCAAACTTTCAGTTCTAAAGCATATTTGTGCATATTCAAGTGCATATTGGTCAAAGAGGCCATCGTACCGTCATAGGCCAAAGTATTGACTGGCTTTGAGGCAGGTGTCTCCCTTTGGTCTACCCAGCCATGGCCCTGGGGAAGAATCGACCTTCTGCCCCCTTGATAAGAGGAGGGTAGGCCACTTGTCTGATGGGTGACCATTACACACATATTGTACTTACCATCATCAATCAAAGCGTATTTTTCCCTCTGGTACCTCTGATACCACATCAGCTTTAATCTTTGGTGATTCTGCTATTCTTGGCAGAATATCATCTATTTTTCATACAACTTAGTCTGGTTCTTAATCCTAAATCTTTTGGGGGAGAATGGGCAGTCCTACTGGGTTGAAAGTTATTTTGTGTACTTGTAAATATCAAAATGCTGATCTTCAGGGAGGCAGAAAAAGAGAGAAAGGGGGAAACAGATCATGAGAGACAAGATCTTAACTATAGAGAACAAACTGAGGGTTGAGGGTTGATGGAGGGAGGAGGGGGTGGGGGATGGGCTAGATGGGGGATGGGGATGAAGGAGGGCACTTGTTATGACAAACACCGGGTGTTACAGGTAAATGTTCAGAGCACTGATCTCTACTCCTGAAACCAATATTGAACTGTATGTCAACTAACTAGAATTTAAATAAATTTTTAAAAGTGCTGATCTTCAGATAGCCATGGGTTTTTAATTACAATATTTGATAGTTTGAATTTCTGTACTACTTGGAAGCACTCACATCTTTATCTCATTTGATCCATACCTTCTTCTTCTATAGATAAGTCTCCTCTTTTTTGGCCCTTTTTGCTATATCCTCATCTACCCATCACAACTACCTTACATGTTGACATGCTCCAGGATTCTTCATTTACTCCCTTTCTCGCTCTCCATGGTTTTAGCTACTGCTGACAGTTACATACACCTCTCCGGAGTCCAATCTGCTCTCTCCTGCTACTCTGTAAACAATGTGTTCCAAATGAAACTCATTGTTCCCCCAACTCCCAAACTTCCTCCTCTCTTCCCTAAGTTGATGAATGTTACCCTCTTCCCATGCAAGTGCTCAAGCCTAGGAATCATCTTAAAGTCCTTCTTCTTTCCTCCCTACACTGAATGAGTCTCAGTCCCGTGCACTAGATGTCTTCAATGTCTCTTAAGTCATGGTTTCCCTCCATTTTCAGCTTTATCCCCAGTTCAGGCCTTTGTATTATATCTCAAGACACTGACCTCATTATTGTAAGATTCTTCTCCCTTTTGTATAGCCCTCCACAAACCCATCCTCCATGCTATCCCCCCCACCGAGTTACCTTCCCAAAATGAAAGGCTGACGATATTACTCTGCCTAAAGCAATGATTCCCTGTCTTCCTCCAGATGAAGTCCAAACAGCAACCATGGCATCCTCTGTAAGAGTCTTACAAGTCTTGTATGCATAGCAAATTCCTACTCTTCTTCATTCTCTTTATACATTTTGTTTTTGTGAGGCATTCCCTGGTCACCCCAGGTTAGGTATTCTCTTTTCGTTCACTCCTTCATGAATTCAAATAATCTTATATATAACCTGAACTGCTTGGTGTTGATCTATTTGTCTTTCTTACTAAGCAACGGATTACTTGAGACCTGGGACCAGGACTTTTTCATTTTTATAGTCATAGAGCCTAGAATAATATCATGAACGCCAGAGACAGTAAAGAAACATTTATCGTTTAAGTATTCACAAATTATTTAAAATACTGAATGCTTGTTGTTGAAAGGAATAGAGGTTTGACTCCCTCCCAATATGCCCCAGGAGAATAAGTAAACAAATGAAGATAATTATTTCTTCTCATACCATTTCCATTCTCCTCCTTGTCCCTGCATCTTCTCCCCCACTTGAAGATAAACCCTGATGTACTCCCAACATTCAAACAGATTGTTAGCATGATGGAGAACACACATTTTGCATCCAGACAAAACCAGTACTTGGTTTTCTTATCTCTAAAATGGAAATGAGTCCTGCCTCACAGAGGTGCTGTGAGAGTAAGTGAAACAATGTTTGCCCAGTGCCTAAACCATTGCCTTGCATACTTGAGTGATCAGTGTATGTCCAGTCCTTTTCCCCTCCTCAGTCCTGGGTCCACTGGGGGGATAGATTGGTCATAATCTTGTTGTCCTGTTGTCTGTTTTTTGATAAACCCTTCTTGTCTTGTGACTATTAGTCCTTTGGATCCCTGGAGATAGAGTAAAACATTTTAACTCTATTCATCTGAGAATGTCATAGAGAATGTTTAATGTTAACAAAAAGTTACTGAAAGATACTGACAAAGAATGATGAGCCATCTTGGACCACAAAGTGGCTAAATTCTTGAAAAGAAGAGGAGAGAAAGGATGGGAAACAAGCAAATCAATTATGCATGTGGGGTGGCCTAATATGGACATGAATGATTTTTCTTTCTCCTCATGAATATTGTCACCATATGCTACATGAATTAAAATCCTAAAGCAACAGGCTCTCACTGGGTGACCAGTAATCAGATTATTTTTGTGTGTGAAGGTTTCAGTTGTGCTCTCCTTTGTGGGAAAACACACTCATGGGAGAGGTGATTAGTTTCCTTTCCATCCAGCCACTATCTTGATACTTTCCTAGGCTTCACTGAAGCCAACAAATCTAATATGCCCTCTAAAGCTTTTCTTTATAAAGACCATTTCCCTTACGATAACCATTTACTGTACCTATTTGTAAATGTATTGTAAGTTCTGTGTGTACTGTATTTTTGTATTCAGACCAATTTTCATAAATATTTAAGTTGACTGCACATGAGTTTATTATACACACTTAAAAGTTTATTGCTTTCCTGTCTCCATTTTGTTTCCTTCCAGTCTGTTCGTCTCTGGAGTCTTTTAGAAATTTACAACATGTACCTAAACATTTCTGCTGTTCAGTCTTAATCTTCATCATAATGACTTCCTAAAACATTTTTATTTTTAAAATAATTTCCCTCAAGCTCTTCTTTTTAACCTTAGCTTAGCCATTTTTTCCCTTCCCCCCAAATCTTTACTGACTGCAAAAGTCTTTCAGAAATAGATATTGTCTCTTAATCACACTTAACATCTTAATCACATTTAAATACCTTCTCACCTTCTTTTCTTGAAATTATTCATTCATTCAGCAAATACTTACTGTACTAGGTGCTAGGAGTGGTTCTAGTGTTAGAGATATAGCAGTGAACAAAACCTCTGTTTTCAAAGAGCTTACCTACTGGGACATTGACAAATAACAAAATAAACCACACACCCACCCACCCACCCACACACACACACATGCACATGCATCCTTCTAAGCCCAGAATACATTGTGTGTCCACCCTGTATGATACTCTCTTCTCATTCTTTTGGAATAGAATAGGTGGAACAGGATGCCCAGTTGGGATAGATTTCTGGAACATCTTGAGTTTCTTATTTTTATCACTCATGTGGAATTTATCGAATGCTACCAGGCATGGTGATTATTTTCCATAGACCAAAATCTTCCCACCTAAATTGAAAACCCATGTGGGCCAGATTCGTGACTTATATTGCTCCCAGCAGCCTTGCCTTCTAATTTATTTGTTCAAATAGTTGATGGTGTCAAAAAGGAGCAAGTGATTAAACTTTGAAAATGTCAATACACAATTTGGAGCCAGACAAATCTCTCTACTTAGCTGCCTACCTTCTCATCCACCTATGAACAATAGAAAATATCCTTACTGTTTTGGATTCCCACAGTAAGTCTCTGTTTTCTGAGGTAGTTTGGTTCAAGCCTCTGTAAGAAAGTTAAAAGTTCTGCTATCTTTAATCACAAATTGATGTTCTTTCTGAGGGTTAATTTTACGAGCGTTGTTTTTGTAATTTCTGAGCACTTGTTCCAATATTTACTTAGAAATGAAATTCCTTCAAGCATTAAAGCCCTTATTAACACAACTGGGCAGACTTCATGGGAAAGAGGTCCAGATGAAATACTTCTATATACAGCAGCAGAAAACTACAGCTCAGGAGCTCCAGTAAATTATCCCTTTTTAATCACTCAATAAGATTGCCCTCCACGATGCACTTAGCCCTATGTGCTGGCTGGCATCTTCTATGTGCCAAATGATTCTTTCTCCTGGCAGCACACTCAGTGAGAAATACACCTGCTTTGTTTTACAGGTGTCTCTGAGTCAGACTGTCAAATATTATAAAGCTACCCTGTAACTTTAGGAATAGGTAAACCTAAATATGCTTCCTGCCATTCTAACTGACCTTTCCAGTGGTAGTTCCCAGCTCACGAAAATCTTACTATGGGTGTGAAGATGTTCCATTTACAAAAAAGAAGAAAGGTTTTTAGATGGTAGAGCTGGGAAATACTAATTTTTGCTTAGAGATTTTACTGTAATATATGGTGAGTACATTTCATACATGATTAAGCTCTCTCCTTTACTTAATTACGGTCAATAGAATATTGAATTAGAAAATATAAAACTTGGGGCTCCTGGGTGGCTCAGTCAGTTAAGCTATCTGCCTTCGACTTGGATCATGATTCCAGGGTCCTGGGATCAGGCCCTGCATCGGGCTCTCTGCTCAGTGGGGCGTCTGCTTCTCCCTCTCTCTCTCTCAAATAAATAATAAACTTTAAAAAATATATAAAACTGGGGCGCCTGGGTGGCTCAGTTGGTTAAGTGACTGCCTTCGGCTCAGGTCATGATCCCGGAGTCCTGGGATCGAGTCCCACATCGGGCTC